CCTAATCCATCCAATGTCTGTTTTTTTTTATTTTTTGTGAACATACTGTACAGAGGGGTTACAATTACATGGGCAAGATAATGAGTAAGCATTGCAGTCTCCTCCTTTGTTTACCCTTCACATCCCTTCCCAGCCTCCCCCTACCCCCCCAACCAATCCTCCCCCACCCCCCCAGCACCAAAGTTGTAAAGTTCGTTTTCGACATGACAACTTGTACTTCTCATTGTTGCAACGGGTATCCTTAAACGACTTGTTTTTCCCCATCTCCTCCACAAATTATACCGACATCAAATATAGTGAAAGCAGGGGTTATACTGTGGGGGAGGGACATACAAAGCAACAAAGAAATAATCTTATAAATGTGTTAGAAACAAATGCATGAAAGAAAAAAAACATTTGAATGTATATCTTAGGGTTCATTTCCCTAACATCACCTTATCTGACCTTTTCTGCTTGACTCATACCTATACTAGATATTGCAAATAAGGGAAACCATGGGACCTATGTTTCTTTGGGCTTGGCTTACTTCACTTAATATAATTTTTTCCAAGCCTTTCCATTTCCTAACAAATGGGGCAATGTCATTCTTTCGGATGGAGGCATAGAATTCAATTGTGTATATATACCACATTTTCATGATCCATTCATCTACTGAGGGGCATCTGGGTTGGTTCCATATCTTAGCTATGGTAAATAATGCTGCAATAAACATAGTTGTGCTGGTAACTTTAGTGTGGTCTTGTTTGTAAACATTTGGGTAAATGCCCAAAAGTGGGATTGTTGGGTCATAGGGGGGCTCTATATGAAGTCTTTTGAGGAACCCATCCAATGTCTGTTGATGGATATTTAAGTTGATTCCTTAGGTAAGGGAGTAGAAAATAATTCTTCCAACAGGAAGAATGGTGGCTTGTGATTTCGTCATGCTACTCTCAATTTTTAATTTAAGTGAAGGTACTTGATTCCACTTAGTTGGCAATAGTGATTACATTTCCCTCGCTTAAACTATGGGACTGAAGTCCAAATGTATTTGTCTAATAATCTTAAGAAATTATTTATGGAAAAAAACACAACAAAATCTGCTTAAAAAGTTTCCAAAATATACAAAATGTACACATTATTCAGAATTTATTCATACTAAATATTATGGATTTTTTATTTCTATCCATGATTAAATGGATGGCCATTTAGAGCTGAACATCACAGCATTAATATAGGAAATCCAGAAGGTGAGATTCAGCATTTCTGGTTTATTGTATGACCTGGGAAGTGGTCAAATTATATTTCTAAATTATTCTGTAAGGAAACTATGTGCAAATTTAAAATTATATTGCATTCTGCTCATGAAGTACTTTATTGAAAAGGTTCAGGAGACCAGATAAAGCCCTTATAAGAGATTTAGAAACAGTCTTAAAGATAACAATTAAGCAATATTTTAAACTAAGTAGTTTGTCTGAAATTAGGGAACACCAAAAAAGAAAAAATAAATGGCTTTAGAATAGGGTTGAGTATATAACATAAACACCTGGTATATCTACTTCTTTCTGACTTGAAATAGAAAAGAATATGGAAGGGAAAAGGTCATTTAGTTTTCTGGGTAATTATTACATAAGCTCTGTTTAAGAAGACATTAAGAACAGAATTCTTTGCATCTACTATTTGTAATATCAATGACTATAAATAAAATGAAACCCCCTTGTACAACTAGTTGATGTCAACAAAAAAAAAATAAATGACTAGTCAAGTACTTGTGGCTCATGTCTATAATCCTAGCTACTCAGGAGGCTCAGCTCTAAGAATCACAGTTCAAAGCCAGCCTGGGCAGGAAAATCCATGAGATTCTTATCTCTAGTTAACCACCAAAAAGAAGCCAGAAGTGCTGCTGTGCTCATGTGGTAGAGCACCAGCCTTGGGCACAAAAGCTCAGAGACAGCATTCAGACTCTGAGTTCAAGCCCCAGGACCAGCGTGCGCGTGCGCATGTGTGTGTGTGTGCGCACATACACACACATACACACAATCAAATAATGAAACAGCAGGAAAATACACCTTAAAGACATCTAATGTTCAAGTTACAAATTTCCCCAGAATGTGTATGAGTAGGCTTAAAACACATGAAAAGGAAGCCAAACATTAAGTAATAAAAAAATCACATGAATGATAAGGATGTCAGTTGATATTTCATATCTACTTTATGTCTTATATATACATCAAATTAACTCTATTATAATATTAACTAGGACTCTTAAAATAATATGATATTACAAGAATGAATGCATTAAAGATTTCTAAATGATCATGAACTTCTTTTTCTATGGTACAAGACAAAAAACAAATAATGAATTCAAACATCTCAGTTAGTTATCTTGGTGTAAACATTATTATTGAGTCTGAAAAAAAAAACAAAGCCATTCCATTTGGCTACACTGACATGTTATTGATAAAGTGATTAAGCTATAGTAAAGATCACAGACATAATTTTATCATGGTAGAAACAAGTGAGAAAAATGGAGACCTTAACAACTTTACAAGAAGAAAAAAGAATTGGCCACTCTGCTTAAAATACTCTTATATATCACCTCTATGTCTTATTAGTTATAAAGTAAAATTACTAAACATCAAATGGAAAAAAAATCAATAATGACAAAAAGAAAATTTACAGGGTGGGACAAAATATATGAATAGGAGAAAATATTTACAAACCATATATCTAACAAGGGATTGATACCCAGAATATTCAAAGACCTCCAAAACTCCATAGCAAAAAATCCAATTAAGTAATAATATGAAAATCATCTGAATACAAAATTTTCCCAAAAAAAGGAATAAAAATGGACAAGTAGGAGTTGGAGGCATGGCTCTGCTGGCAGAGCACCAAGCCAATGTATGAAATTGTCAGATACCAAGTTCAAGTCCTGGTCCTGGACTTAAAAAAACAGGAAAATGGACAAGCATATGAAAAATATTCAACATGACAAGCCAACAGGGAATTGCAAATCAAAACAATAATGCTGTATCATCTCACCTGTTGAAATATTATTTAGAAACACAAAAATGACAATTGCTGATAAGAATGGGGAGGAAAAAGAACTCTTAAACTGTAGGTAGGACTGTAAATCAGTACAGCCTAAGAAAACAGTATGAAGATTTGTGAAAAATAATTAAATAAAACTATTACATGATCCAGAAATCCTCTTCCTCGATAAATAACCAAAGGAAATGAAATTAGTATGTTAAAAGAGATATCTGCATGACCTTGTTTATTGCAGCATTATTCACCATAGCCAAGAGAAGGAAACTAAGTGTCATTGAATTGATGAATAGATTTTCTTAAGTGTGGGACATAGACACACCGGAACATATTTGACATAAAAAAGAATGAACTCTGGACATTTTCAACAACATGGATGGGAATGGGAATCATTACATTTAGTGAAATAAGTCAGGAATAGAAATTTCGAGTAATGTATAATCTGATTCATAGGTGAAATCTAAAAACAACTTCAAGTAATACTAGCAGAGAGTAAAATAATTTGCAAAGGTTTGGAAGAATAGGGTTAAAGAAAGGATGAAGAAAGGATGGGATTAGATAATGGTGGCTCATGCCTGTAATCTAACTACCTAGGAGGCTGACATGTGAAGACTGTCATTCTAAGCCAGCCTGAGAGACAATTTCTAGAGACTTATCTCCTATTAAGCAGCAAAAAGACTGATAGCAGAACTATGGTTCAAGTGGTAGATCACCCACCTTAAGTGAAAAAGAGGGACCAGTCTAGGAAACTGGCTCAGTGGTAGAGTCCTTGCCTTGCATGCATGAGGGCCTGAGTTCGATCCTTAGTACCACATGAACAGAAAAAGCTGGAAGTAGTACTGTGGTTGAAGAAAATTAGCCTTGAGTGCAAAAGCTCAGAGACAATGCCCAGGCCCAGAGTTCAAGCCTTAAAATCAATCAAACAAACAAACAAACAAAAAATGGTGGGGGAATTCAAAAGAGCTTGTGTGTTCCTTCTGCCATTTGAAGACACTCAGAAAGAGCTATCTAGAAAGAATGGGCCTTCATTAGAAGGTCTGAACTCAGAATTTGCTGGCACCATAATCTTGGACTTCCCAGACTCCAAAATTATAGAAAGAAAATCTTATTAGTCCACCTATTTTGTTATTGCAGCCTTAAGAAACTTACAGAAAATAAAAAGCAATTGAAGGCTGGAAAAGAGGCTCAGTGGTAGAGTGCTTGCCTTGCATGCATAAGGCCCTGGGTTCAATTTCTCAGCACCACAAAAGCAGAAAAAGCCAGAAGTGGTGCTGTGACTCAAGTGGTAGGGTGCTAGCCTTGAACAGAAGAGCTGAGGGACAGTGTCCAGGCCCAGAGTTCAGGCTCCACAACCAGCAAAAAAAAAAAAAAAAAAAAGCAATTGAAGAGTTAAGAGAACACACTGCTGGGTGCTGGTGGCTCATACCTATAATCCTAACTACTCAGGAGTCTGAGATTTGAGGATCACAATTCAAAACCAGCCTGGGCAAGAAAGTCCATGAGATTCTTATCTCCAATTAGTTATCAAAAAGCTTGAAGTAGAACTGTGACTCAAGTGGCAGAGTGCCTAGAGCAAAGAAGGTCAGGGACAGAGCCCAGGTCAGGTTTTAAAGCCCCAGGATCAGCATAAAGACAGGTAGGGAGGAGAAGCAAAAAAGAAGAAAATACACTTTGTGGAAATAATTTTTCAATAAATTTAAGGAAGGTTATAAAAAGAATTGGAATGTGATAGAAATGCCTTTGTTGTAGAACCAAAAAATGATGTCTGGGAAGATTTAGTTACCCACAGAAATCTGAGGCAAGAGGAAGGCATGAAATAAATTACTGTATGGCCATATGCTGTATGGCTAAGTACTGTGAAAAAAAATTTAAACTTGTTAAAATTCTATAAATAATCTTACAACCCTAACAGTGGCCCCATCTACTCACACCCCAAACACAAAATATAAATAATCTAACTCCACAGTGCTTACAGGTGCCTTTCATGCATGTCATCGTTGAAGAACATAACTCAATGACCCGGACAGCAGAAGTTCCTGCTTCCTCTGCTGGTGGTACTGTCAGAATGGAAATCTAAAAAGACAAATAAAATACCAAACATAACTGTTAGGTTTTATTTTATCATTATTCTGTTGTTTACTAACTTCAAAACATTCTTTGATATTTGAAAAAAATTTGGCTAATAAGCATTTAATTTTAGAATAAGCATTTTATTTTATTTTATTGTTTGTTGTGCGGCTTGAACTCAGGGCCTGGCCCTGAAACTTGTAACATGCCCTGGATGTGTGCTGATATTCAATTTCTGCATTATTTGTTTCTTGTATCACATACGTAGTTTACATATTTCCATCAACAATAAATAAATATAACAGAATCTTTACTTACTGTTTTCAATGGTGCAATGGTAACATTATTTCTGAAATATACATACTTTGGTGTTTGACATCAACTATATTAATTCAATTTTGATTATTCATAATGACTACAAATGGGTGATATAGAGTACTGAATCCGAAGACATAAGAATATGCAAAAGTGAACTGAAATTTTTTTTATAACGAAGAATTTCATACTAACAATCAGAACCAAAATGTAAAATTATTAAATACGATTCATTGATACTCAGAATGCTGCCTTGGGCACTACTGACTGTTTTATGATTTTTAAAATATTTTAAGTGACGATCAGAAACATTTGACCATCATCATCAAAGGCTTCTCTGTAGAACTGAAGTTGAAATATTAATCCTCAATCTATTCTTCAATTTGAGGAAATTACATCTTCTTACACCAGAAATGGTTACTGAAAGGAAAGCCACAATATGTACTTTTTCCTGGAAGTGCCATGGTTAGATTTTGAAAAGAAATGTCACACTGATAGTCCACAGAAGAAACATCTACAACAAATTCAAAATACTGAAATTATTTTGGTAACTATGACTATACTATTGATACATATTTGGGGGCTCATGGTATCTCAAAAACTGGGTTTTTGATGTTTCTCTTAGCTCCCTCTTTTCTGGTCATGACAGAAAATGTATTTTAGAAAAAACAAGAAGTTACTTTAGACATTAAGCAAAATTAAATGAATACAATTAAACACATGATCATAATTAGCAAAGAACCTTTAAGGAACATATAAGAACTTCTTTTGATTACTGGAAATATTGTACTTTATTTAATAACCTCCTACCAGAGTAGCTCTCTTACCTGAACTGAAAAATTAACTGTCTGATGTCTCATGAAGACAATAAAAGCCATTAAAGGAACATTCCTTCTGTCATTTAATACCACATTCATAAAATTTATCTAGACTTCACCTATTTTTTTCTTTTCCCTAAATTTCATTGTTCTATGCTTTAAAATGAGAAAAAAAAGAAGAGGAAAATTTCCTATAGGAAACAAGGAAAGACTTAACAAATACATATTTTAGACTGATTACTCTGATGACTTTGTGGAGGACAGGTCGTAAAGATGAGCGTACGTGACTGGGAGAAGGCAGATATAATAACAGAGGTAACTGGAACTATGATAATAAGGAGTATAGAGGAAAAATAGACTGAAACAACTTTTGGTAAGTACATTGAGGGGAACTGAAGACAGATTAAATGTTAGAAAAAAAGAAAATGAAAATGCTATTTTAGAAGTATATTGAGCCGGTACCAACAGTTCATACCTCTAATCTTAACTACATAGGAGATTGAGATATGAGGATCATAGTTCAAAGTCAGCCCAGGCAGAAAAGTCTGTGAGACTCTTATGTCCAATTAACCAGCAAACAAACAAACAAAAAACAGAAGTGGAACTGTGGCTCAAGTGTTAAGACTGCAGCCTTGAGCAAAAAAGCTAAGGTGCTGAAAAAGCACTCAGACCCTGAATTCAAATCGCAGGATTGGTGTGTATGTGTGTGTGTGTGTGTGCTGAAAAAGCGTGTGTGTGTGTGTGTGTGTGTGTGTGTGTGTGTGTGTGTGTGTGCTGAAAAAGCTCTCAGACCCTGAATTCAAATGGCAGGACTGGTGTGTGTGTGTGTGTGTGTGTGTGTGTGTGTGTGTGTGTGTGTGCTAAAAAAGCTCTCAAACCCTGAATTCAAATCACAGGACTGGTGTGTGTGTGTGCGTGTGTGTGTGTGTGTGTGTGTGTGTGTGTGTGTGTGCTGAAAAAGCTCTCAGACCCTGAATTCAAATAGCAGGACTATGTGTGTGTGTGTGTGTGTGTGTGTGTGTGTGTGTGTGTGTGTGTGTGTGCTGAAAAAGCTCTCAGACCCTGAATTCAAATAGCAGGACTATGTGTGTGTGTGTGTGTGTGTGTGTGTGTGTGTGTGCTGAAAAAGCTCTCAGACCCTGAATTCAAATCGCAGGACTGGTGTGTGTGTGTGTGTGTGTGTGCTGAAACAGCTCTCAGGCAGACCCTGAATTCAATAGCAGGACTGGTGTGTGTGTGTGTGTGTGTGTGTGTGTGTGTGTGTGTGTGTGTGTGTGTGTGTGTGTGTGTGTGTGTGTGTGTGTGTGTGTGTGTGCGCGCGCGCTGAAAAAGGTCTCAGACCCTGAATTCAAATAGCAGGACTGGTGTGTGTGTGTGTGTGTGTGTGTGTGTGTGTGTGTGCTGAAAAAGCTCTCAGACAGACCCTGAATTCAAATAGTAGGACTGGTGTGTGTGTGTGTGTGTGTGTGTGTGTGTGTGTGTGTGTGTGTGTGTCTGTGTGTGTGTTCCTGGATTCAAATCACAGGACTGGTGTGTGTGTGTGTGTGTGTGTGTGTGTCTGTGTCTGTGTCTGTGTGTCTTTGTGTGTCTGTGTGTTTTCCTGGGAAAAAACAGCACTGTATGGGGAACAGTTTGGGAAAGATGCTGAATTCAGCTTTATATCCATACCCTTTGATGGATGTCCAGCAAGAAGTCTGCCATATGGTGCAGACACTTCTGGGAGAAGTGTAACTGATGGTTCCCAACATTTATGAAGAGTTGAAATCACAAGAATACATGCAATCATCTAGTGAGCGTACACAGAGCAGGACAAACAGTGAGTTCTAAGAAGCCCCAATATTTAAGGGCAAGACAAAGCAAACAAAGCCCACAACTAAATCACAGAGGACTATCCAAGTCACAAGGCACTCAGAAGAACAGTGTTAGAGCAGCTGGGGAAGTACACAGTTCTTAGAGAAAGGGAATAATCACATAGTCAAAGTTCTAGTAGACAAGAGAAAAAAATGTATCTGCTGACTCACTATGATGAAGGAGAGTAGAAGGAAAGGAAGAGGAATGGAAAAGGTGAGGACTGAAGAAGACAGGAATAGAGAGAAGAGGGAAAGGAAAGGATGAGAACAGTGGCAGAAAGAAGGGAAGGAGGGAGAGAGGCACCTGTGGACAGGTATGGACAGGGAAGAACCATCTCATCCATTACTGAGGCTGATATACATGTGGTATACCTGTGGTGAAGGGGCTGAAAGTCTAGATTGCCCTTGTGCATGGTGAATGGCTTCACTTTACTCAGTAAATCATGAGATAGAAAGGGCTGAAGTGAGAAGGGTAGGTAAAATAGTGAAGGCTAGCATTCATCCCTGAGCATTATCAGAGGCCAGTGATTCAGCTAAACTGGGTTGGTCTCCGGAGTTTGAGGCAGGGCCAGTCTGTTTGTGTAGTTTTCTAGAGCAGCCATTAATGACATAGCATCCATTCATGACAGAGGTGCAGATTATAGCCTAAAGCAGAGCGATTTTCCTCACTGGGTGTGGTAGAAGACCAGGACAATATGGGGATTGAAGATGCTGGAGCAAAAGCCGATTAGAAGATTCATAATGGGGTCAGAAGATTCATAATGAGGTCGAGGGCAGAAGAAGATAGAACAGAAGGAAGATGATAAACAGAGCAAACTTGTAAGGGCTTGAGTACTCTTAGGTTGATTAATATGCTAGGCAGTAGTAAAAGAATGAAAAGAGCTGGAAAGATCCAAGCAGATGAATAGTTTTACAAATCCATCACATTTGACCAGTATATATGCTTCTATTCTCCAGAGGTGACTTTACTTTTAAATTTAAAGAATAGAACCCAGAAGATGGGAACTCCAAATCCACAAATACTCGTATACTTACCCTGTCATTTCAACATTCATCACCCTCCATATGAGAGGAATGCTTGTGCCTGTCCTGTCAATTTCATCCTCCCTGACTGCCTATCATGTGTCCATTACTTTTCCATCAATAATCTTCCTCTTCTCCTCAGTACCTTCATCTTCTCTACTGGCTCCATTCCTTCTGCTGAATTATAAACTAATCTTGTAAAGTACTCTTCACTTTTTTCAAGAACCAATTCCTTTCTCTTACTCTAGATATTAGCTTCTTCAGAGTTTCTTTCTTTCATCTTTCTTTCCTTTTTGTTCCTTCCTTCCTTCCTTCCTTCCTTCCTTCCTTCCTTCCTTCCTTCCTTCCTTCCTTATTTATTTATTTAATTTTGGTACCAGTCCTGGGGCTTGAACTCAAGGTCTGGGAGTTGCCCCTGAACTTCTGCGCTTAAGTCTCTACCACTTGAGTCACAGCTCCACTTTCAACTTTTTTTGGGTGGCTAACTGGAGTCTCATGAACGTTCCTGCCTACCCTGGCTTTGAGCCACAATCCTTAGATCTCGGCACCCTGATTAGCTAGGATTTTAGGAGTGAGCCACTGACAACCAGCTCAGAATTTTTTGTATTTGCTCTCTTTACTTTTCTGCCTCTGTCACTTTTTGGTAATCTTAACCTTTGCCCACTCACAGTGTCTGTCTATGGTTTCGATAAGTTTAGATAAGTCAATCAGCAATGACAGTGACACAACTGCTCTATCATTTTCTTAAGCTGCCTCTAGTTACATTTGTCACACTAAACTATACTTGATACCTATCTGTCTGTAACTGTGTAGTCTAGATTACAAACTATTTCATGGTAGAGACACCATCACAGTGACACAGGGAGTAAAAGACACTTGTTTGCTGAATGATCCAATAAAGTGGTATCCATTCTTACATGTGTAAGTCATAACTGATGTCTCTTTTTATATATTTTCCATTAATCAACAATAAAAATTGAACCAATAAATAACTTTATTCATTCACATTTTCGTTTTAGGTAATAGGTCTTCTCCAACCTAAGGAATTTTAGGAATCTATTTTGAGTAGAAGCATATATATCTGGCAGCCACTTATACTGAATAAGCTGGCTTTAATCACTGTAAAATATAGTCAGAAGGAGAAGTCTTAGATAAAGGCCCTGGAATTTTAGTGATCACACTGAGAAAACGTAAGAAGTAGAGACATGGTTGGGTTGGGAAGGTGGCTCAGTGGTAGAGTGCTTGCCTTACATGCATGAGACCCTGGGTTCGATTCCTCAGCACCACATAAGCAAAAAGAAAAAAGCCAGAGTGGCGCTGTGGCTCAAGTGTTAGAGTGCTAGCCTTGAGCTGAAGAGCTGAGGGACAGCGCCCAGGCCCAGAGTTCAGGCCCCATGACCAACCCCCCCCCCCCCCCCAAAGAAAAGAAGTAGAGACATGGTTCTATGAATTTGGGGTAAAGAAGGAAGTAGACACTAAAATGAGCAATGGTAATGAGGAAATAGTATAACTGAGTATAAATGAATTCATAGTATGCCTAAAGGTAGGCTTTCTGTAATTGCTACAGTGTTACCTACTGTAAAGCCTTTTTCTTTAAGCTTTTAAATATGTAATCTTGTCATATGCTGGTGGCTCATGCTTGTAATCCTTGCTACTCAGGAGGCTGAGATCTGAGGATCATGGTTCAAGGCCAGCCTGGGCAGGAATGTTCCCTGTGAGACTCTTATCTCCAATTAACCACCAGAAAACCAGAAATGGTACTGTGGCTCAAAGTGGTAGATTGCTAGCCTTGAGTGAAAGAGCACAGGGACAGCACCCAGGCCCTGAGACCATGCCCCATGACAGATAAAGCAAAAAGAAACAAGGAAAAAAAAAACACATATCTCTAAGGATTCTTTTGTTTCCATTCCATAATGATATAACTAATTTCATAGGATTTAACAGTTTCATTCTTCAAGTTAAACATTTGGGTTCTTCCCACAAAAATGCTAACCATGTAAGGAAACAAATGCTAATTATCTTGAGGGTAGGAATCAGCCATGTGTATCAAAACATCATTCCTTTTATAACACACACATTTATTTTTAGAAAATAGAAGACTGAATTTACCTGTTGATCTGAATCTGTTTTTAGGACAGATCTATCTGTGATCAAAACAGCCCTGGAGATCTGCCTGTGAGAAACAAGAGAGTGAAGCTTCATGTATAGTTATATAACCACCAAAAGGTATGTTTCAAAGACTGAAGTTAGGATAAAAGTGTCACCTCCCCAAACCATGTTAAGTTCTGCTTTAACCTCATAAAAGAAGGATGCATGACCTGGAGACAAATTCCAGCTGAAGCAAAGGAGTTGGAATTATGCTTGGCTGCCCCCAAATCAGACCCTATAAGAGAAGATTAGCAAGATACTGAATGTACCTTTGCATGTAACTTGAAGAACAGAATCATAGCAGAAATGGTAATATAATCACATGGGCCTGACTTTTTCCTTCCCTTGGCTAGTGAGAAGGAAATATCTTACCTATATTGCACCCGGCAGCATGTGTTCTCAGAAAAATAACTGTCTTCCACAATGAAATGCTTAGAGATTATTCTCTGTCCAAACTGGTCTATGATTGCTTTACATCTAAAAGATAGGCATATAAAAAAGTTCATATGATTGAGTAAATGAGTATATTCTGCTACTGATTTTGAATTAAAACCCTATATGAAGACTAAAAAATTGCCTACTACGATGCCACATTTTTTAACACAAAACTGATATTGAGTTATGGCATATTCTTGTTGCTACTCTGACACCATTTAAATGATAAAAAACTTAAATACTAACTTAAATATTAACTGACTGCCTTTGACAAATAACTGTAAAGTTGGGACAAATATTATATAATGTAATTATAAGCTTTACTCAAATTTAGGAAAATGTAAGCTTTTCTTTTGTTTATACAATAGTTTTATTCCCCCCCCCCACCAAAGTTTTAAGAAAACAGGGAGAAAAAAGTTGACTAGATATCTTGTTATACCATTCACAGCTGTAAAAACCACTAAAGGATTTTTATTTCTGTTAAGTGTTGCTTTCTGTTTTGTTCAAGAATAGCTATCTGCTCGTGCGTTTGATAATGTTTTAAACGGAAAAAAAAGGGATTGAGCTTCTTTTAATATCTGTTTTCACTTTACTTCAAAGGATGATCACAGAAAGATTTCTTTCAAGTGATGTTTCCAAATAAGGAAAACACTTATGCATGGACATTATCAGGTCTCTGTCATCTGATATGTGTTGGGACAATGAATCATATAGAACCCTCCATTGACCTTCTTTCAATGTGTCTAGATAAAAGGATGAAAATTAGAATCCATCTCCTTGCAGTGCCACAAGTTATAAATGTACTTTATAGGGCTCATTATCCAAACTAATGGACTAAGGGCAACATCCTTGAAATGGACTTACCAGCACTGACAAAGCCAGTATGCAATATTTTAGGAACTATATGCAAATGACTGTGTGTTTGCTCTATCTTTTTATTATGAAAATAGGAATTTACTTTGTCACAGCTTCTTCTTTAGGGACTAGAAATATTTTATTAGAAAGATACATATAGGTTGCTTCTCATAAAATGTGAACAAATGATTTCAAACTTATATCTATTTATAAATTATGTTAGTATAAGTTAGAATGTGCTCAATGGCTATAAAATGAGGCAAATATGTGATATTTTCTGGGCATAAAAACATTAAATATGAAATTACTAACACTCAAAACAAATTTGTATTTCCTAAAGGCAGATTATGCTTTAAAAAAATAAAAGGTATAACACAGGCATCAGGATAGACTAAAATGTCTACTCAAATAATATATACATAATATATATTTTAAGTAATGAAGTACATTCCTTGTGTTATAATAATATTTAATGATTTTCACATCTCATTTCCACTTCTTTTCTCTCTTCTACTTTTGTCTATATTCTTTTTATCCCACCTCATTAAACTAGAGCTCTTGCCTTACAAAATACTTCTCTAAATTGATATGCAGTATTAGCAATTCTCCAAAATAAGTATTTAAAAACTGAAAAGATAAATTTGTAACTTGTCTTCTTTTTTTGAAATGCTCATAAGCAATTTGAGAAACAAAGTAATTTAGACAAGAGAGAAATCTGTTGATCTGTCATTTCACATAGATTTCTATTTGTCAAGCCTTTTTCTTAACCTTAATTCAGACGCAATAGAAATTCAAGAGTGTAGAATGTGATCAGAAAAAATATGTAGTGTAAAGTGTTTTCTAGCTTGATAGATATTTTAGTCATGTGGTTTGTTTAATTCAGTTACTGAGCACTGAAGATTGGACACTCACTAGAAATTTCACATCAAAAGAAAAACACTGGAAAATATTAAGCTCTGGTAAATAATAACCACACTGGAGTATTTAGGGATAATTCTGCTGATCTCTGAAGTTCATTGTACAAAGTATAAAAACATCAATTAATGGAGTAGAAGGCTATTTGTAAACATGTGACTAAATAAAAATATTTAAATGTTAATTGCAGAACCGGAGTGGTTGACATACAACCATTCACTGTGAATTCAATATTTTCTTTTTTTGTATATATTTTTTATTGTAAAAATGTTGTACAGAGGGGTTATGGTTACATGAGTAAGGTAATGAGTACATTTCTTATTGAGCATTGTTACCTTTTTCCCTTACCATCTCTTCTTTCCCCACCTCCTCAACTCCTCCCTCCACCCCCACCAAAGTTGTAAAGTTCGTTTTCAACATAGTAAAATTCAACTTTCATCAGCATAAAAATATTCATCATAAAATGTTGAAATAATAGTGACAGGAGTTGTTATAGTATTAGCTCTAAGCCTGACTATGAGTTAGCAAAGTGATCCCATTTAAATCAGCCATATAATGAAACTTGGCTTTCAGTCTTGTGGAGACCTCTTGCTTAGTAGGCTTCCAAATACTAACAGATCCTATGGTGACAGCTACATCTTTGGTGACAAGAAGAGGTTATGGTGTTAGAAAGAACTAACAGAGCTGGGCACCAGTACCTTACAATCTGTAGCATGCACTATTCAGGTGGCTGAGATCTAGAGAATCCCAGTTTGAGGCTAGTCCAGACAGAAACATTTCCTAGTCTCTATCCCCAAAATAGCCAGTAAAAAGCTAAGCTGGAGGCAAGAGTCAAGTGGTAGAGTGCTAACTTAACAAGTGTGAGAAATCTCAGTACCACCTGAAAAAATAAAGAAAAAGAAAGGAAAAGGCAGGCAGGCAGGCAGGCAGGCAGGCAGGCAGGCAGGCAGGCAGGCAGGCAGGCAGGCAGGCAAGCAGGCAGGCCGGGAGGAAGGAAGGAAGGAAGGAAGGAAGGAAGGAAGGAAGGAAGGAAGGAAGGAAGGAAGGAAGGAAGGAAGGAAGGAAGGAGAAAGGAAGGAAGGAAGAAAGGAAGGAAGGAAGGAAGGAAGGAAGGAAGGAAGGAAGGAAGGAAGGAAGGAAGGAAGGAAGGAAGGAAGGAAGAAGGAAGGAAGGAAGGAAGGATTCATTTGAAAAAGTATTGGGATGTGGAGTTAGGGAGCTCACTGATGCAAGGACAAGGTATTACTAAATGTGCCTTTTTATGCTGAAGCTTTCCATGAAACAAGAATTCTCAAAGGAGGAGGAGGAGAAGGAAGCAAATCAGAATCACACCTGGGGGACTGTTTCACATTTTAAGTACCCCTGGAGATTCTGATAAGCTCCCAAATCCCAGGAATCATAGCCAAGTGAACCACTGGTTCTGTTGCTTCTTTACTATATGCTAATTAGAGAAAAGTAAACAACTACTCATGCAGAGAAAAATACCAATTTCTGCAGACATTAAGGTAAAGGTCAAGTAGGCCCAGCCTCAGTGTGGTAGAGGATAAAATGACTCACATACTTGTTTCATTCTTACTGTGAAATACTGAGACTCTAGGCCTGGTGAAGCTGTGAAAACCAAGTTTATTTAAGTATGTGCTAAGATTATTTTCCCTAAGATGCTTGCCTTACTGTCATATATTCACCCTAATTGGGAAAGCAATAAAGAAAGGAATATTGATTCCAACCTAGTCTTAATCATAATATTACAATGATTAATAAAAAAATGGATAGCATTTAAGCTCTAGAAAACAACCAAATAAAACAGTACTGCCAGAGTCATTAAAATACCCTTCTGCCAACCACTCCAACAAAATCCTGAGGATGCCAGTAAGGATGAACAGCTTTAGGCTTTAATTGAGGGCCTTGCTGAGACTCATAAATAGTAAATTGAGGAGTAACATAATAGGAGTTTCCAGTTACAGGAACACAATGACCAAGCTGATCATAAGAATCACTGAAGCCAGACAGAACATTTCTAGGGCTATGCATTCTCAATCAACAAATCACGAGAGTTACTCCATCCGTCCATTCTTGATTATACCATACGAGATCATAAATAGCAACATGACAATAAAGGAGAAAATACTCAGCAAGATACAAATCTAGTATCTGGAATTTGTCCCAGAATAGAAAAATCACATTACTAATGAGTATCTAATCCCTTTGATCTGCAGAATTAAAATACCAACTAATTATGCAGTGTAGAAAGGAGACATCACAAGTATAACAATTAAGGGGGGAAATATTAAGGACATGGGAAGATTCTCAATTGCTAAAACAAGTAAAAACATTCTGCTTAGGAGCTCTTCAAATGCATTAGATCAAATGCCACCTCATTCACGAAACTGGTGCACAGTGCTTCATACTCATTTTTCTGGGAGAAAAATCTGATGTATAGGTTTTAAACTATTTTAGAGACAAGACGATTCCAAATCTATAGGTTTCTTTTGACCTTTTACAAGCTATCTACATTGTTACTGAGTACAATGATATATGTGTCCATCATGTAATGTCTAACCTAGTCAAATTAACACATTTGATCACCATCCGTAGTTGTTAGTATTTGTGTGGAGAGATGTAAAAATGCTAAAAACCTAGTTTTTGCTAATTTCAAGTAAACAATTAAGTACTGTTAATTACAGTTTTTAAAACTAGTATGCCTCATCTTCCTCCCTCCCTTGAGTTTCCTCTGCCAGCTAAATGGCATAAGCAGCAGTTTGAGTTTTCCAACCTCAAAGCTCTTTCTACATCTAATCTGCTACCAAATTTTTATCCTGCCTTACAAATATTTCTTGTTTTGTTATAGTCTTCTAAGAAGACAATGGGTAGGCCTATATAATCCTAGCTATTAAGGCAGCTGAGATATTAGGATCATAGTTTGAAGTCAGCCTGGGCAGGAAAGTCTGTGAGACTCTTAATCTCGAATTAACGACCAAAAAGCCAGAAGTGGAGCTGTGGGTCAAGTCACCACAAGCATTGAGAAAAAAGAGCTCAGGACAGCATCTAGGCCCTGAATTCAAGCCCCAGGACTGGTGCGCACACACGGCGCGCGTGTACACACACACACACACACACACACACACACACACACACACGACAAAGGATTGCTAGCACATTAGTAGCTGACTTTGTTCAACATATGGGACCACAAATGTGATAAGGAAAAAAAAGTGTCTTTCCTTAAAGGAGCTTTAAATACAATGAAGACTAAGTCATAGGCAATTTTTTTT